ACCAAGCCCCAATAATAAACAATATTTCAGAAAGTATACTAGAAAATCCTAATGGTAAAATAGAAATTCAATTTACCAACAACAGAAGAAATAACAGTAAAGATGATTCTAAAATAAAATCATCTACAAGACCTATAATAGAATTACCAAGAAGTTCTACTTCTTCTATAAATCCAAAATTAGAAAGTCTATATAGGACAAGAGAAAATATTATCATCCCACAATATAGGTCCATACAAAAATCTGAACCAGAAATAACTGACTCAGAAATGGATTTTCAAGTCTTAACTCTTACAGAAGAAAAAAGACTTAGCAAACAATTTATAGAACAAGATTACTTATTCGAGGAAAATAAGGAGATAAGAACTTGGTATAAAAAACATTTTCAACCTAGATTAGTAGAATTATTTCATATAAAGTACAATAAGGCACAAAAAAAAGAACGATATAACAAAGGATTTTTTATATGGTTAAAAGAAATATGTAAAGAAAAAAAATACATGTTCCTAATTTTGAAATAAATACAATACAAAGTCAATATGCTTCATATGAAACAATTGACGGAAATACAATGACAAGTATTCACCCTCCTGAAAAAAGTATTGTTATAAAAGGATCAAAACCAGAATTAAAATTAGAAACAAAAGCTACACCATATAAAATGACTACAGGAGAAATAATACATAAAGCTGAATTAATTCGACATGTAATAGAACAAAATAACTATACAAATTTATATATGCAATGTTTAGGAAGGCAGGCATCCAGAATTGAAAATATGTTAAGACCTGTACCTATAAAAGAAACCAAAAATGTTTTATTTAAACCACCTCCATCACTTGATAAAGAAAAAGCTTTAAAAATTCAGGACAAAGAAAAAGAGAAAATTTCTACAGAAATTCCTGAATCCTCTACATTAACCTTACAAGAAGAGACACCCATAATTGGTAACACAATAGAAAATATGGAAGAAGCCTTTACGGAAAATAGTCATGAACAAGATAATAATAATATTCAAAGAATAAGAATAGTATATGGAAAATCATGGAAACCTTTAATAGCTAGGCCTTATCATCATAGACCTACCCCTGTTGATATACAATTCGAAGAAGATTTGGTAGCCTAGAATATTTCCTATTCAGGAAGATCAATAGTAAATTGGAATATAGATGGATTATCTGAACAACAAATATTAGACACTATGAAACATATGACCATGTATGCCTCTGCGTGCAAAATGGTAAGCAACCATGATCAAGAGGTCGCCAAAGCCATTGTTTATGGTTTCACAGGATGGCTTCGAGGTTGGTGGGATTTCCACTTACCTGAAAATACAAAACAACAAATTTTGAATAATACTCGCCAATGGACTGTTAAAAATAAAAATAATCAAGACGTCCTATATTCCGAAAGTGATGCTGTTAATACTCTCATTTACACAATCACACTTCATTTTGTGGGGAGTACAGCCTTACTTGAAGCCCGATCTGAGGATTTATTATCTAATTTAAGATGTCCAACCCTATCCCATTATAAATGGTACAAAGATGTTTTCTTTTCGAGACTATTAAGTAGAGAAGATAGCCAGCAGGATCATTGGAAAGAAAAATTTATTGCTGGATTACCATATTTATTTGCCGAAAAAGGTAAAAAATAAAAATGGAGGAATAATACCATATTCTGTTTATACATTAAGAGATTTATCTACAGAAATATGTGCAGAAGGATTAGCCCTATGTACAGACATGAAATTAAAGAAACAATTAGATAAACAAAAAATGACTGGTAAAAAAGAGTTAGGAGACTTCTGTGAACAATTCGGATATCATATAGAGAAATCTAGAGATAAAATTCATAAAAAGAAAAGATATAAGACAGAGAGAAAAGAAAAGAAATCTTATAAAAAACATAAAAAAGAAAAATTTATAAAAAGATTCTCTCCAAAATACAAGTATCATAGAGGTCAAAGAAAATTACCTGTATGTTATAAATACGGAAAAGTTGGCCATTATAAAAGCCAAT